TTATTTCAAATTTTACAGTACATAACAAAGCATCTAACATACACATACGTGTAAGCACTATGTCATAAAGATTTTTGTAGTAGTGCTGTTTTTCTTTTAACTTCAAAATAAGATTAGTGAAAAGATCCTTCAATTTCAAAAACGTACATGTATATGGTATGATAATAATATAATGGCATGTTGTTTCCTTTTCTACTTATACGTAAAAAGAGCAGCCAGTTATCAATCAATAATTGATTAAAAATTTTATGAACTGCAGAGAATCCATTTTTCATCACTGTCCAAAAATGGTTCATGCGCATTACGTGTAAGAAGAGACAAAGCAACATTCAAACATTGGAAACGATGATCATTGGAGAGTTCATGAGGCACCCAAACACCTTCTTTATGGAATGGTCCCATATTCCTAAGATGTTTACATATTGTTTCACTAGAGACATGCAATTTCAGGGCCATTTCACGAGTGTGGTGCCTTGGGTTAGACTCAACAAGTATCTTCAGAGCATCAATATTAATTCCAACATGCCAGCCCCTACCATCACAGTTTTTAAGGCTAAAGTCACCTGAATGAAATTTGCTGAACGACCGTTGACACTTATGAACATTCAAAACATTTCATAAACTTCTTTGATATTCTTTGTGGCTACAGAGGCATTGTTTCCCTTCTTGTATTCAAACAGCATTACATGCCGAACGTGTATCTCATCGTGTGCCATCACTATAAAGGATCATACTACACTTTACACATTATATAGGCTACACTTACATGATGTTTAGGTAGTTCGTTTAACTATTATATGTAATGTATGTTTTTTTGGGGGGGTAGGTTAATGAAAGTGTTTCAAAATGCAACATTAATTTCTTGATGACCTAATACTTTTAAAATACAAATTTGAGCTCAGGTCACTACAATACTAAATATACCACACACTTTTCAGTGCTACTATAACATGCAGTCTACAAAGATATTTACAGTATAACGTGTGGTCTACACAGATACTATCATCATCAACGTTTTAACTTTCATTTAATTGCAATTGGTGCCATTTATAATAAATAACGCTTTTAAACTAATAAAGTACAAAATACCGTTACATAATTTTTTTGGGGGCAAATACAATTGGAATGAAATAAATTCCAACAATCAAAAGTAGCACAATCATAAACTAAATTTAAGGTACTCTTTTTGGAACACCCAACTTATTAAATTATTATTTGCTGAACAAAAATGTGGATAGATATAAAATATTTAAAAAGAAATTATGTTTTAGTGAATCATCAAAACAGTGATGATGATAGTATCTGTGTAGACCACATGCTATAATGTAAATATCTTTGTAGATTGCATGCTATAGTAACACCCACTTTCTATCTTATCTGCCTGCAGACGTAAATGTCATTTCTAAAGAAAAATCTAGTATAAAAAGTTAAGAACTCAGATTCATTAATACCTATAAGTAATAAGTTAGTGATCAACAGATCTTAAACCTTTCATTAGGCTCAAGAAGTAAAAATTATATAAATTAAAACACAACTTACATTATTTCCACTAACATATTCCGCAGTCATGTAGATGAATAGCTGTTTTACATTCCAGTTGAATAAACTTCTTAGATTTGGGTTAGTTAAAGAAAATCTTTAAACAAAAACCTTGTAAAGTGAAAAATGACAATATTCTATACATGATTATTTCTTGTCAATTTCAACCTTTTTTAAAAGTCCCTATTTTGTAATAATGGTTTCTAGTCCAATGTACTAAAACACTTAAAAATAACAATAGATCAAATAATGACTGTATCTTAATTTTTAAGACACAAATCCAACAGATATGAGCCTAATGCCATGAAGATTTATAGTGATACATAAAGCCTATTCATCAGTTATTTCATATCCTAGTGCTACCCCGAAAAGGTAATTCATAAAATGGAAAAAAAGTTTGCTTATCATTACTTCCCTCTCTACACCATCCTTTACCTTATTCATTTCATCATTCTCACTAGATTTCTCTCACTTCTGGTCATTTACTTGAGAAGTAAGATACTCCTCCCATTCATAGCACGACCTCCATAACGAGTTTTCTTCACTCTCGATGTTGTTAAAAGTTGTATTGACCTATCATGTGATTCAGTTCAGTATCATTCAGTTATTTCTTTCAACAAAGAGTTTAGAAAAGGTTGATTATTTCGAGTGGAAAAAGAAAAGATCATACACAGTAAAATGACAATGACTTAGACTAGTGAAGATGGAGTTGAAGAAACTGTACATGATAAAATAGAACATATCAGAACAATAGAGCTTCAGAAAGTTTTCTCCATGGTGTACAAACATTGTCATGTCTTGGTATTAAAGATGGCATGGAGTTCATTGTCAGTTTTGCCTCTGAAGTTGTCAGTAAAAACATGACACACAAACTGCATCTTGGTCAAGCTGACAAATGCATCTCTGTGTATTTCAAAAGTGTATACCTTCATTCAAAGCAACCATGAGCTGCTGCTTTGTTAGTACCATTCAAGAAAACAGATCATTCTTCATTATTCAATTTTTTGAATCTGCCAAGTGCTGGGCCAGATCCCGAGAAACCCCAAAAAGATATTTTTAAAGTTTGATATGCAATCTTGAAGTGTGTTAACTCATTGATGTGATATCATTTACATGTACGTTTAGGAAATTTATGTATCCATGTTTGGAAATAAGACTGCTCAATGATGAATTTGGATGTCTGCTCTAGACATTTATCACAGGTTTAATATTTGAAATTAACATATTAAGTACAAAAGATTAATTTTTATCAAGCTTTTTGTACTAAAACAGGGTTGTAGATTCCATGATAACAGCACTTTTATGCTAATTTATTGTAATTTCTGGAGATTTCAGTGGTTCCCATTCACTGGTACAAACAGCCAAAACAGTGACTGTCGTTATACAACCCACATATGGAACCAATGGATATAGTCACTTTTTCAAGTTTGAATGGAAGGCTTACACTTAAACAAGGCAGGGTCTAGTATGTTAGCAAGGGCTATTAACTCTGCTATAGTGGTAGATTTAAACTAGGGCTAGACAGAGGTGATGGCTATGATATTACTAAAACAGGAAATATAATTGACAGGAAAACATGTACAACAGGTATAAAACATAAGCATATTTTAAAATACTATGATTAATTGTTACTATTGTATGTAAGGAGTATTAGAAATAAGATTGATGAGTTCAAAGCAGTTGTGGAAACTGAGGATTTTGATATTATGGGTATCAGTGAGACCTGGTTGGATTTGAAAAATTTTGATGAGAGAAATGTTTTTGAAATACCAAGTTACAGAATAATTACTAGTGACAGAGTATTGAAAAAATGGGAGTAGTAGTTTTATATGTGAGGAGTGAATTGCATCCTGTTGAGTTAGAGCATATTAAAGAAAATAGCACTGAGGTTGAGTCAGTTTAGGTAAGTGTTATTGGATATAAAGGGAAAAGTCTTGTAATTGGGATTTGTTATTGAACACCAGGTCAGAATGTAGAAGTTAATGAGAAATTGTATTATGAAATCAGAAGGGTAGCTGAAAAAGATGTTATTATGGAAGATTTTAATTTCAGGGGTATTGATTGGGAAAATTTTGAGTCTGACAGTGAGGGGGATAAGTTTTTGGAAATTGTTCATGATACTTTTATACACCAACTGGTGATAGAACCTACAAGAGAG